ACCCATAAACAATAACAGAACTGGAATCGTCTTGTTTCCTAATGGAGAAGTGCGTGTCACTTGCAAAATGTACAGTTAGAGATATCACCAAAAGGTTAGGCTGGCTTTTGCTGTGTCTGGAATTTCAATGCCAATTACATTCAGTAGGATTAATACTCATCCTGAAAATAGGAATTTCTAGTGTTTCTGTGTAACTTGTGCTTTTGGACTGACACATATGCTTAGGAATTCTTTTCCTGCCCTGTCAGTCTTTGCATTTGTCTAAAAGCTTCTGCTCTTTTACAGGTTGTGTGCTATGCACATGTTTTTTTCTTCTGTTAAGCATCAGGTGTGTTAAATGATTTAAAATGTGGAGCAGTCACTTATCTAATCAGGTATACTATTTGGAAAATACGTTTCCAAAGTACTTGCAGCTAGCTCTTGGATATTGATCATTTTGTATTACACAGTGAATACTTCTGATTAAATTCATCAAATCAGAAATCTAAAATGCATGTCAGGAGAGTTAGTTCTGTTACCCAATGCCCATGTTTGCACATTATTTCTAACTATGCATTTGAAGACTGTTTCCTTCAGTAACTGAATTTGTTTACTTATCAGCATTGGGTTCATCAAAATCAATAGGGGTTGTATGAAGAGTCTGAAGCTCGAACCTGGTGTTACATCTGCTTTGATTCACCAAGTTATCCTTCAAAGCTCACCAGTATCACTGCTCAGCTTTGCCACGAGCTGTAAGACCCCCCTGGTAACCCGTCAGCTGTAGCTGTTGAAGCTGTTATGTTTTAATACTTGAAGTACTTAGAAAAGTACAAAAAGGGCTTTGGATATATGTGGAGGAAAGAAAAATGAAGAAAAAGAAAAAATTACTTAGTAGAAAAATAGGTTCTGAAGGAACCTTTAGAGATTCCTTCAGAAGGCAATTTTTTTTTAACAGTGCTGCTTCCAGAACACAGTTCAGACAGCAACTTGGAAGCTGCTGAAATCTACACATCTAACTCTTAATGAAGGAAAAAACATTTGCTTTTTTGAGGCATTTTCTGTTGATGGTGTAGCATTTCACTGCCTTAGCGAAACACTGACATGAGTAAGCTATTGGGATGGATTCTATAAACTAATTCAGTATTAGTTGAGTAGGGGCACGGATGGTAACTGTCACTGCTCCTCTGTATTTTTAACTTTGTATATTAACTAACAAAAAGATGTTTCTCAGTGTATACACTTGAGACCATGCAAGATAGTGTAATCTCAGTGCTTGTCTACAAGTGCGTTGTATTCACTCTGCTTAATGGGACCACCTCACATTTGCTGTTGTAGTTCCCCGAATTACCCAAACATGGCCATGATCTCTGGGGACCATGACTGACTGTGGGTTTGTTTGTTTGCTTGGTGTGGATTTTTTTGGTTTGTTTAGCTGGAGAAAGGCTCCTAGGTCTGTCAGCCTGGACAACTATCACTTGCAAGCAATTTTCTGCCCGGCTAAGAACAGTCTCTTATGAAGCAAAAGATGCTCACGTAATAATTCAAAATTGGAATTCAGTTTGGAATTAAATCTGCATTTCAAATAACTGAAGCTTAAATAAACCCTGATGATTTCATCATTTTGCACACGGTCGGTTAAATTTCTTAATCTAAAGCACTTTGTCATTGGTCTTTGAGGTGCTGACTGGAATGCGGTCTCTTCTTCCAGCCTCCCTGAGACACTTGTTCAACTTCACACAATGATTGCTTGATTTTGTTTCATATGAAAAATTGTTCAAGGACACATTTGTAATTTTACAATCAAGTACTTTCTCATAATTGGCACGGGACACCAGTGGCTTTCAAATTTTGTACAGATGTTTGGGTTTTGTTGGGTTTGCATGTGCTGCGTATTTGTAAATCGACTTGGGAGGGCCTCGTATTCAAAATCATGTTTACTGTTTTCCAGATTAACATTATTAATCTTAATGAGAGTACTTTGGTACTCATCCAAAGTGCATCCGAACTTGAAGTTAAGAAAAAACTGGAAGAATTCTTCTATTGGTTTATGAGGATCTGATGTTAAGCTAATGATTTAATTGTGTTTAATGAAATTCTGGTTTGGATTTTAGATTCTTTCTTTTTTTTAATTCACTGCTTGACAATGTGCCTTTTATACTAAATTGTGTCAAAAAATAATGAATGTAGAGTATGAAAAGGTTGGTCAGTTTCTGCTATCTCAGATTCTGTGTACTTAAACCTGGTAGTGTGAAATGGTGACGTCCTTTGCGTAAAGCCCTTCCAGGTCTGGCTTTGATTGCACAATTACAGTAGCTACTTCTGTACTAATAACGCTAAATCAAACGAAGGGCACTTTCTATTGATGACTACTTTTTGAAAATGTCTTGTACTTACGCTTGAGCTGTATTTCACTTTACAGCAGTCTTTTTGGAGGCCAGGGTTTTGCATATCACAGGAAGCCTTAGTGTGCAACTCTGTGCTGTGCTTTAAAATAAAAATCTTTCAAGAAGTTTATGAGATCTCTATGGAAATCTGGATTTATTTTTGTGTAAAGCCCAAAATATTGTCCAGGAAAACTAATTTTCTATTTTTTTTGCATTTTGTAACATAATCTAGTAGCTGATGCCTATTTCTAGATATAGCGTATTTCTGGAGACCAAAACATGTCAGAAAATAAATATATGGAGAGACTGTGTTTAAGTTGTGATGAATGTACTTCTATTTATTTTGGTGAGTGGGTGTAATGCAATATTAAAGTGTTAGTTGTAAATAAGGGTGCTTCTAGTTTTAGCCAATGATTTCCTTTGGGGATATCTGTTGTGCACAATGTCTTTTTACACAATGTGACAAATCAGGTTTAAAAACTTACATAGCTTAACTGTTTTCTGGTGCTGTCAAGAAAGTGTATACTTTTGCACACCAAATGCATATAAGTTTTGCAGACAATAAATTACAGGCATTAAACATTTTACTGCTACATCTCATTGGTCTACTTTATAGAAGATATTTTTTTCCTGCTGTTTTCTTCTGAGCTGTTATATGAAACAGCATTAGACTGAATGTTCTCCAAGAAAAATTGTTCTCTTGTTCCCATGCAACACGCAAGAATCTATGAAAAATTAATGGCGTCACTTAAGCATTCAGAAAAGAGCTGAAATTGATTGGCATCTCCTACGGTTTAGGCTTCTAACATAATATATGTTTGGAGGAACATGGATTTAAGAATGATATAAACAAGTATACAAGCTGCCTTTCATCTCTTCCACCTGGAATATATGGTGTTTCATCTTGCAGTTTCATGAGCAGCATCTTTTTCAGATTCTCTTCTTCCCATGTGAAGAACCTGCACCTTTTCTACTGCTGTCTGCTATGGAACCACTTACTGCTCTGACAGCTGGAGGTCAGTGCCAGTGCTAGCTCTGGTTAGCTAGCATTGCAAACTGTTCCGAATGGATAAATGAATACCTTTCCTCCAGGTATTCATCTTCATTAAGCCCATCTGCCTCCTTTTGCTTGAAAAAAGGAAGGCTTGCATGCTGTTGTGCTTTTAAAAAGCCATATAATAAGATTATATTGCCCCTTAGCATTTGATCAGTGGCCAACCAGCACCTTGTTTTGCAGACATGAAATCTTACCCTGAATGGAACACCCTTGAGATTTTTAATACATCTTCAATGTTTAGTAAGTTGTTATTTTAAAGCAAAATAGGTAGGTCATTCTATGTTGATTTAGCATAATCCATCCAATGAAGCTGTACCTCTCTGGAAGCAATAAAACTATTTTACTCAGATTTTTTAAAATTCTTTTCCTTATTGGAGGGCAGTTTTTAGTTGTGGCTTGAATTTGAAAACGTCTTAATCCCACAAGGCAGAACTGCAGTTCTAGCATCCAGAAGATGGCCTTCTACGTACCAGTTTAAGTGCATATGGAATCACTCATCTTTTTTTTTTTTCATGAGTCTGTGGATCCAAAAAACCTTCAACTACCATGCTTAATGTTCTGAGTGGAAAGAAATTAAACACAGGAGTTGTTCCTGAGGTAATGAAATGTAGTTTGGTCCTAACCTCTGTCTGCAGCTGCTAAATAGCTTTCTTGAACTGGTGATTTATTTGCTTTGGAGATTTTCTCTGTCCAGTTCTTTGTGCAGGTCTTTGTTTTTATTTACATCCTTTTCCCCACATGCAATTTCATTAAGCTTTTTTATATCTTGAATGCAACGTCTCAGTTTCTCTGTGTTCCTAAGTTGAGCAAAGGCATGTACCTACCATCTCTTAGGCGATGACAAAGGTGGACAGTGAGCTAAATGTTTTACCTGTGATATTGTCAGAGCCAAAGCCAATGTGATGGGTTTGGTGAGGAAACTCTCACTCCCACCACTTGGTCTTTGTTTATGTTGGGACCTTCAGTATCTGCAAGTCACTCAGGTCCATTCCAGAAGCGTTCATTTTGCACAAAGCATGTGATACGTATAACTTGGAATTCCTCTGAATTAAGTTACTCTGAATTCAGACTGCTTCTGTTACTGCATGGTTTTTTTTCTGCCGTAGGGAATTATTTGAAACAATTTATTGGGCTGTGGTAGTTTCACGTTCTCAAGAACTCTGTGCTCTGAGATGGCACAAAGATACAGGATGCCCACGGCTAAGCCAAGGGTCAGACCTGAAGTATGCCGTTGTGAGACAGAGGAGATGCTATTTCCCTCCTGCGTAGCACCGAGTCAAACTTGCAAGCTGTATGCTCTGCGTTGCAGGAGCTCCTCATTTTATTTTACCCTCTCTTAGCACGTGAGAAACCACAGCTTATTTCCTCCTTTAACTGGCCACGTTTTCTATCGAGTCTCAAAGACAACAGCCAGCAGCTGTAGTCGAGCCCCTCAGCAGTGCTCCAGCCCTCAGCCTTAAGGTGAGTCGCTACCCACGGTGTAGTGCGAACTTCGGGCTTCCTAGCAAAACCCACGAGCTCCACAGGCCGCGTACCGCGCACAGCGCCTGCAGGCCTGGGGCAGCTGCTGAGGCGGGGCGGGGCGGGGCGCGCTGGAGGCGCGGGGCCGCCTGGGAGGCCGCGGCCATGGCGTTCTCGGCGGAGGCGCTGCGGAAGCAGCTGGGCAAGGTGCGGGACGGGGCGCGCGGGGCCGGGAGGGGTTCGGCACGGCGCTACGGCGGTCCTCGGTTGGGAAAAGCCAAAGGGGAAGTCGGGGCGGCCGAGGCGAAACGCTTCTGTCTGGGTTTTTGTCTCCCGCTCCCAGTACAAGTTCAGAGACCTGACCGTAGAGGAAGTGACGGCTGTCAGCAGGGCGCACCCGAACTTCTGCTTCTCCATGAACACTTACAGTAAGAAGGGGTGCGGTGCTCTGAAGGGAGAGTTGGGTTCTTGCCTGCCCGGCTCTGTGGGGAAACACACTGCGGGGCAGGGTGGGATGCTGTACTGTCTGTGCCAAAAGTGATGCTTCTGGTTTCTAGAAGCATTAAAACAAGGGGGAATGGTCTTAAACTGAGACGGGAGGTTTGGGTTAGATATTAGGAGGAAGTTTTTCACACACAGGGTGGTGAGGCACTGGAACAGGTTGCCCAAGGAGGCTGTGGATGCCCCATCCCTGCAGGCATTCAAGGCCAGGCTGGATGTGGCTCTGGGCAGCCTGGTCTGCTGGTTGGTGACCCTGCACATAGCAGGGGGATTGGAACTAGGTGATCATTGTGGTCCTTTTCAACCCAGGCCATTCTGTGATTCTATGATTCGGAGCGTATTGTTGTCATTCTGCATTAGGATTGTTTTTTTTTAATTTCAGCCTTCAAGGATGGATCTCAGAAAGACCTCCTGAATTTCAGTGGCACTGTCCCGGTGAAATATGGTAGGAGTTGCTGTGTGTGGTTTCCTTACCTGCTGTGCATCCCAGCAACATGCTGTGGAGAGCCTGAGAAAAAGGCATGGCTGAAGCAACAGCGATGGCCTTTCTTCTCTGGGAGTCAGGCTGGAGAAAAGGGGAGAAGGGAGAGTGCTGCACCTCATTTCCAGCAGCTAATGGGATTTAAGCTTGCTCCTAAATATGCTGTAAATGAAGTGGAACAGCAGATTCCAACATGCCAACTATGCCTCTGAATTATTAGATGAGGCTGTGCTAAGCTTGCGTGTATGAGATGAGGCATCCTTTCTCATTTTGGGTGTGCTCAGGGTTAATTTACACACACGCTAGGATCAAATACTCAAGAATGTGAATGCAAGTCTGCACATCGTGCCTTTGGGGATTTGGTATAACCTGTGCTGCTCTTTGAACTGCTGCTTCATTAAAAGTGGCTTGGGATTTTGCCTGAATTGGCACAAGCCATTTCTATTGCATAAATATTGTCTTTATGTACATATAGACACTAAAATAAGGTCAAGATCAAGCAGGATGGGGTTCTGAGCCCTTGATGTAGTGTAGGTGTCCCTGGTCATTGCAGAGGAATCGGACCAGGCAGCTTTTAAGGTCTCTTCCAACTCAAACCATTCTATGATTCAAGTCAAGTAAATATTTTTAAAAAGTCATATAGTATGAAACAGTGTAGTCAAACATTTTGGTTCCAATAGAGATCGCTTGAATTCTGTAAGCCATACACTTGTATAGAGCGTGCTTAAAAAGAACTAGTAAGTATTTATTTCTGAACTTAAAGCCTTTGAAGCTGAGGTAAAGCTCTTAATAGATGCCTCTTATTATTGGTTATCGTGAGTTCTTAAAAAATAAAAATAAAGAAAAGATTGCAGCAAGAAGTTTATTTGCCTATAGAACTGGTCATGTTGGCTGATTGAATGCCAGTGGAAAAACAACAAGAGGAAAAATTCCTGTGTTAATTACAACTCAATCATTGACGCTCCAAGATGATCCAGACAAGTCTGCTTCTGTCAACCAGTCTAAGTGACATAAATGCTTTAAGTGCAAATCAGGAAATGTATTTGTCTGGCTTTTTTTCTCTTTGTTATTATGAAATGCATACAGACCTGTTTCTTAGTGTTTCTTCTCAGTGCGGAAGCTTGTAATGGCTTTTGGTTTATGTTGAACAGGTAATTCCTATAATATACCCATTCGTCTGTGGATTTTGGACTCTCATCCCTTTGCTCCTCCCATTTGCTTCCTGAAGCCGACTGCCAACATGGGCATTGCAGTGGGGAAGCATGTGGATGCTCACGGCAGGATTTATTTGCCCTATCTGCAGAACTGGAGCCATGTAAGAGGAGGGAGGTGTCTGGGAATAATGCACAGTGCCACATGGACAGCAGTGCAGAGGAGTGGGTCTGGTTTGAGGCTTTTTGTATTTTGCACTGCTTGTTAAATATGGAATGCTTATGCTAAGAGAAGTGATGTTACACCTCTTAAAATTACGGCTTTCAGCCCATCCAAAGAGTTTACAAGGAAGATTATAGGCGATTGTAAGGAAAACTCTTCTCAGCTGGGAAAAAAATAGGGGGATTGTCTCTGTTACAAAACATTGTAAGTGCCACGTGGGCCTTTTGGCTCTCTTCCCCCATATTGCAGTGAATAATGAATAACAATACCTGACAAACAGAGTATCTCCAGTTAAGTTCCGCAGAAATTCTATCTTTTGGGGATGTCTCTTCTGACTATAACATTATGAATCAATAGGATGGAGATTGAAAACCCATTTAGATAACATACTTAAGTGCAACTGTCAGGCCCATGGCGGTGATTTACTGAAAGCTCGTTTTCTAAAAATGATGAGAGAGATTTTGCCTGATTATTATAGAAATTCCCATGTCTGGGAATTGCTTCTATTGCTTTAACTTCTACTGACTTCATGGTGTGTTTGCTCCAAGTACCAAACCACATGAAAGAGCTCCTCAACTGTTTTGTCTTCTTCCTATATTTCAGCCTAAATCAACTATCATTGGATTAATCAAGGAGATGATTGCAAAATTTGAGGAGGAGCTGCCTTTGTATTCATTGTCGTCTTCCGATGCAGACAGGCAATCAGAACTTCTCTCCTACATCGCAAGGATTACTGAAGGTGCAGATGTCTTCATATATTTGTAGTGTTCTAAGGCAATGTATGTTTTATTTATTATTACTTGATATCACAAGGATCACAGAATCACGGAATGGCCAGGGTTGGAAGGGACCTCAAGGATCATGAATCTCCAGCCCCCTTGCCACATGCAGGGCCACCGACCTCCCCATTTAATACTAGACCAGGCTGCCCAGGGCCCCATCCAACCTGGCCTTGAACACCTCCAGGGATGGATGAGGCATCCACAACCTCTCTGGGCAGCCTGTTCCAGCACCTCACCACTCTCATAGTTAAGAACTTCCCCTTGACATAAATGCCTACCTAACATTCAGTTCATTTAGTAACTGAATCTTTGTGCATGCAATACATATGTCCAATTAATCTTCATATTTCTGTTACAAATCTCTATGAATTATGCTCAGTATGAGAAATGTTGCGTTATCAGACTTGACTGCTGTTTTGAAGAGATTTATGTTATTTGGATTAACTCTGATCCAGACACAATACTTTGTGAAGCATCAGTAGCTATACTGATGTAGTATAGATCAGCACTTAAGTTTGTGTTTCCCTTTTAACTGTAGGAGAGACTGACATAAAATCAAAGAGTAAAATGGATGGAATCAGAAACGGAGGCTGCTTTAACAAAGTTACTGTGGTTGGAGCTGGCGATCTCGGCATTGCATGTGTGCTGGCAATTGTAGCAAAGGTATGTAATTAATGTAAGTCACTGTACACCTGATTAATTAATACAGGGACTTCCAATCTAGTTCTTAGTGTCTGATACAGAAGTAGCTCAGCGCTTTTAACAGTTGTTGCCACTGCCTGTATCATTTGCCTCTTCTGTCCGGTTAATTTATGGACACATTAGTTTCTGCTATGCTTTCTCATTCTGCTTTTGTAAATACAGACAGATAAACGAGGAATGCACTTATTTTGAAAATCCGTAATTAAGAGTTTATTGCCTAAGCTGTGGCTTGTTAGAACTGAGATCTCCTGCTGCCCTGGAAAAGGGTTTTCTGTAGCCAGTCTGTACTGTGCTGTGACTGTACACTCAGAGACAACATCTGTAACCTCCCAGAGATGGTTTTGTGGATTTGTTTGTTTCATAGTGCCTTATTTTCACAATTCAGCTCATTAAACTAATAGTGTTGTGATTTGATTGTGATTTTGGTAAAGTCTGCCCGTATTGCTTATTGTACACACGCTGCAACAAATGCTGTTTTGAACTGGAGAAATATATTTTTATAGTTCCCCACCACTGGCAAGAACAAGTTAGGTTTTATTGTTGATCTGTATTGTTTTTACTCATATAGGGTGTTGCTGACAAGGTGGTTCTTCTGGATCTTTCTGAAGGTGCAGCAAAAGGAGGAACCATGGATCTGGAGATCTTTGCTTTGCCAAACGTAGAGATCAGCAAAGGTGCTGGCTGTCATTACTAGATTGGGAGCTGATGCTGTACTGTGTGTGCCTGTGCTTATCTCAGTGAGAACAGGGCACCCTGGGTGCTGTAGAAGCTCTAGTATACAAGGCATGTTTCTAAAAGAACGTTATCTTTTCATAGCTTCTTGCTTTTTCTTATCTGCCTGGAGAAAAACTGGTAAGGGAGGACTCAGTAAAGTTTGAAATGCTTCTGTTTCAGGCTTTGTTGTTGATAGAGTTAGAAGTGTCTGAGCCTGCTTCCAGGTTAAGAGGCTTTTTCTGAATTTGGACACATGCAGAAATGTAGAAAAACAATCTAGTGCATCAGTGTCACTGCTGCATAGAGGGCAAGGTGAGGAGAGGTAAGTATGTAGGGAATTAGGACCTAGCTGTGACAGCAGTGTTGGAAAGACTGATAAATAAAGGCGAGTTTCAAATTACTACCTTCCTCAACTGATGTTTGTTAAACATCAGTTTATGACCAGTGGTTAATTCTTAATCATTATCATTATGAATTCAAGAAATTAATTCTTAACCCATCCCTGGAAGTGTTTAGAAGACACGCGGATGTGTCACTGAGGGACACAGTTTAGTGATGGGACTCAGTGGGTCAGGTTGATGGTTGGACCTGGTGGTCTTGAAGGTCTGTTCCAGCCTAAATGATTATGTGGCCTGGTTGTCAATTAGCTGTTAGTGTACAGTTCAGCAGAACTAATTTTGTCCCCATACTTAGTGGTGATGAGTATAGTCCTTGATAAGCTTAGTTGCAGAGGCTGAGATGGTGAAAAAGCTCTTCTACAATAGAAGATGGAAGTGAGTAGAGTGACCTTTTTCATCCTCACTTCTTGTTTAGCCACGATGTTTTTTCTTGCCTCGGACCTTCTGCAAGCCAAGAAGTGAGGCTTTCAGTGCCTCTAATGTATTTTTTCATAGTTTCCCATTCTACCAGGTATTTTACTTGATTGTTCTGTTTCCACCTGGCATTGCCAGTTCTACATCCTTTGATCTTATCTTGCAAATTCTGCTGCTTGTGCATTTTTTTCCTAAGCTCTCCTTGTGTAACCATGCCACAAATTTCTGTTTATGCTTTTGTCATTTAAATATTTATATGTAGCTGTGATACAGCAGCTTCTATGTTGTTGAAATGAAGTCTCTGCCTTTCTTTTTTAAGTTGGAATAAAAATGAAGGTTCCGTAAATGTATTTTTTCTCCCTTGCTGAGAAAATTAAGATAGGAAACTTGTGTCAGAACTGTTTTCTGATCTGTGCTATGTCATCTTGGGCAAACTTCAGTCTCTTCTATCTTTGTCAACTAGAAAGTGGGAAAACTAGCTCTGTGGGAGAGCTGTTTACAGGTGCTGCAGAAGTGCTCCACATTGCAAACAGGGAGCTGGAGGCAAGATAGGAAGGAAAGAATCCTCAACTTAAACTGGATGTTGCAGTTCAGCATTTAGAGTAGTGTTTTGGTTTTGCGTCTATAACTTGATACAATTACACGCATTCTTAAAATACATTTTCTTTATATTTTCAGATTTTTCATCTTCAACTGATTCAAAAGTTGTAGTGCTTACAGTTAACTCCCTGGGTAATGCTCAGACGTACCTGGATGTCATACAGAGCAATGTGGATTTGTTCAGAGGAATTATCCCAGCAATATCGCACTACAGTCAGAACTCCATGCTGCTTGTTGCTTCTCAGCCAGGTGTGTTGGCACTTCAGCTGATGTTCTGTCCCTGTGATGGCTTCTCTTTGGGCTGTTTGAAAAACACGTTACTGCCAAATATGCACTCTTAGTCAGAAATTCTTGCTACTCTGAAAGATGTTTTCCTTTACAGCACTGAGCAGGACACTGTTTTTTTAACTGTTACCAAGATAAAAGAAAATAGTGTACTTTGATTTGTTTAAAAGGTATGTATTTCTGCATATTTCTGTATGTAGCTTAAATGTCACTGTATCTACAAGATTAGCATCCATTGACTGTTGTCTTGTCAGCTGTGAGTGTTTATTACAGTTCTCCTGTGCAGTAAGGATAGATGCATGTGTGTATGTGTTGTGTGCTCTGTGATGAAACTCACAGACTATATTGCAGCTGTATTTTAGGGAAAAGTCTAAATCTGTGTGCTCAGTAATACTATGAAAAGAGAAAAGCAAAAATGTTCTTACAAGAGAAGTACACATGAACCTATCTGTCCTGTAAACAGGCTGACAGCATCGTTAGCCCTTTTTCTGTTTTTCAAGTGCTTCTTAGCCTTCTTATCTTTTAGACCTGTGAAAATGGGGTAAAGAGTTCTTGCCAAATGGGGAGCGGGGAAGGGAACCACTGGGTGCATTAAATTTAGAAGTATGTGAGATTTGTGGTGAAGTGAAGCATAGTGATTCATTCTGAAGTTTCACTTGACTTTTCTAAAAACTTCATGTGGGCTGTGAGTTTTCTTCATCTTTTCCCCATCTGACTTGATGTTTTGCTTTAAATAAACTGGAATATTCTCATATGCTTTTATCTTTTCTAAAGTAAATGAGTTGCTCTGGAGTTATGTAACTCTGACTAACAGTTTGCAAATAGGCTGAATTTTGATTGATCCTTTATTGTCAACATATTTTTCCTTTCATATATAGTTGAAATAATGACATACGTGTCATGGAAGCTGAGTGCATTTCCCAAAAGCAGAGTTATTGGAGTAGGTGGCAATCTGGATACTGAGAGATTTCAGTACATACTCACAAAGCTTTTGCAAGCAGAGACGCTGGGAAAGGATGCTTGGATTGTTGGTGAACAAGGGGAAGACAAAGGTAAAGTGATACTCACTGTGAGTATTTAATGTCCTGACAGTACTTAACTAATGGTATTAATGGAAGAGTGGTTGAAAAACGTACTGAAGGTAGCAATGAGCAGGGTAGTGATTTTTACTAATAGTGGTTCTAAAGAATAACATTATGGTCTGTGCCCGAGCCTGCAGGCTTGAAGTTGTTGCAAAAGTGTTTTGCATTTGTCACTGTTTAAAAAAAATAGACATATATAACCTCAAATGCTTTCTATTTGGTGCAGCGATGCAGATTAGAGGTTTTGAAAGAGGAAGGAAGTGTGGTGTAAGATATGTTAGGCTACTGCTGATGTGACATTTTTTGCATAGTAATTCATTTTTAAGCAAGTGTCTTGGGAAAAGTGCTACTAACATTTTATTTTTGCAATCTAGAGACCTTACGTTTGGCTTGTTATGAGGAAAGGGAGGTTTGGAAGCTTCCTTTTTAATTAATTAATTAATATCCTTTTCTCATCTCTCCCCAAGCTTTTTCATCCTTATTTTAGTTGCTGTCCACATGTACACTTAATGCTGTGTTTGTTTCTGTGTAGTACCATCGTGGACCAGCTCTAAGTCGGTTACAAATGAAACAGAAACAATGGCTGCTCGTAACTCCAGGGAAAAGGTGGCTAACAGGTAACTCCATCATAACTTTCATGTTTTTCTTCATGCTTTGACACTTGGTTTGCAGTTTTTTGGGTTTTTTGTTTTCTTTTCCTCAGTTCTTAAAAACAGGAGAAAGTTTGCTGGAACCCAGAGGTGTGTGTGTCATTCACTTCTCTGCAAGCGTATATACTTGATGTTTTTCTGCTTTAAATGATGTTTTGCCTGCAGTGATCCCTAAGGATGAGATGATGAGCTTTGTGGAAGATACACCAGTTTCAGAGTTGCCAGTTCAATTACAGATTACATGCATTAAAAAGAAAAAAAGAGGCAAGCTTTCTAGCACACTTTCTCAGAGCCTGTGTGAAAGCAGTTAACTTCAAAACTAGGGAGCAATTTTGATCAATTTACATGATTTAATTAGCCAGAAAAAAAGAATTGTTACTACTCTGGGTAGAATATATATAAAGACATTCTTTAAGCAGTTCATTATTTTCTTATGTAATTTTCCAGAATGAAGAATCATGTTCTTATGTACATTTACTTGTCTATAAGGTTTCAACACATGAATCGAAACAGGATTAATTAAAACCTAAACATTATATGTTTCCCCTTCTCCTGGTTTATTTAGAGCTGTGGAAGTTCTCAAGGGAAAAGGTCAGAGATCCTGGTCTGTTGGGCTCTCAGTTGCTGATTTAACTGACAGTATCCTGAAAGATAAAAGGAAGGTTCATTCTGTATCCACTCTGGCAAAGGTAAATATGTTATTAATATCTTCTGGTTGCCACTACAATTATGTGATTTACACTGGATGTGACAATTAATTTTTATCAGCACAGATATGCTGCATAAAGCAGCTGTTCTGGAGTAGCATTATGATTATTACTGTCTTCCAACAAGAGTTTTTAATTCCGATCCAAATGAAGTACGGATCAGTTGTTACGTTAACCTGAAACCAATATTGGAAGTGGATTGTTTTCAAAACAAATAGAAGCATTTGGGGGAAAATGTGTTCATGTTTGCTGACCAGCTCCCCAGGAGCAGCTCAGTTTGGCAAATGAAGAGAAATGCGTCATGGTTTCCAAGTGCTCAGTGTTCAGTGTATATTTTTCCAGGGGCCAAAAGAGTTCAGTATTATTTAGGAAAGTATAAAATGCATTTTCTGCCAGTACTTTATTTGACCAGCTTTGAAAGCTTTATCTGCTTTTGTTACTCCTTGATACTTAGCATTCTTTAGATAATTAAGGTACATGTAACTTCACACAAGGTTTAGTCCACAGTTTTAAGTTCATCCCAGGAGGCTTCAATAAAGTTTTAAGCCTTTTAAGCCTAAAACTTCAATAAAGTTTTAATTTCAGAGGAGGAGAAAAAAATTGTAGAAACCATTATTGGCTGCTTCTATGCCCTTCACAGTTCTCTGTGCGGGAAAATAGAATGCAAAAAGCTTCTTACTGTATTAATTACAGCAGATATACAACTAATTTCATTATCTTTCCAAATAAAGTTTGTAACTGTTTACAAACTAAACACAAAAGTAGAGGAGTGCCAAGTCTCTTAAACTGTCGAGTAACTAAAGAATGTAAAATTTCACATACAGATTATATAGAGAAACAAAATCTAAACTTGTAGTGGAAATGCTAAGTCACAGCTTGAAGCAGTGATGGAGCACCTGCTGGGAAGGCAGGTCCAACCTGGGAAGCTCAGGTGTATGTAATGTATCTGAGTGACCAGAAGGGGTGGAGCCAGGATCCACCCTTTCCTAGCTCTCATTTAAGGGCTGGCAGTGGAGTGGAGGGTATCTCTTGCTGGAGATTGCTGCCCACCTGAGGTCTTCCAGAGATAAACAGGTCTTTTCTTTCTTTCTTTCTTTCTTTCTTTCCTTCCTTCCTTTCTGTATGTATGGCTGCTGTATTTGGGCTTGTTCTCATTTGCTGTAGCCGAAGACTTTGCTATCCTGCTATTATCATCCCATTATAGTGTTACAGTATTGTTAGTGAATTATAGTGATGTAACTTTGGGAAAGTCTCTATAGAATGAATACGTTATCAATATTTGAAAATCTTTCTTTGGATAGTTTTATTTGGTTGCATTGTAACTCACTTTGCTCAGTCTTGGGAGAACTGATCATACAAAAAGTGACACTGCTTGTTCTACCCAGAAATCTGCTTAAAATGTATCTTGTAGAATAAGCTTTGCCTGCATTGCGGAGGTCTGATATTTTTTACACTGGGAAACAATTCCTGTGGCACCAAGGTTTTTTCACTGTACAGTAATACTTTGCTGTTGCTGTGATTTGTTGCACAGAATCTAAAATAATTGGAGATTTACAAAATCATGCCATGTGAAGAAGTGTCCTTGCTTAGTTAAATTTAAAAAATTACTTCGTGCAGTTCAGGTAAGAACAGAGCAGAAATGTTTTTGTGTGACAATGTTCTTTGTGTGTTGTTTCAGGGATTTTGCAATATAAATAGTGAAGTATTCTTAAGCCTTCCGTGTATTCTTGGAACCAGTGGAGTGATTGAAACGGTCGTGCTAGAAGAAGATCAGCTGGTGCAAGAGAAACTGCAAAGCAGTGCAGGATCAATTCATGACCTTCAGCAGCAGCTGAAACTGTAAGCGCAAAGGATGCTACAGCATCTGCTCAAACAAGTTGGAGCTTTGCTAGGCAGGAAGGGTTGCTTGGTGCATACAGTTTTCTATGCAAAACAAATTTTTTTTAACTTACTTTCAAAAGTGTTTTCCTTACTTACTGTTGGTTCAAGTTATTTAATACTATGCTGCCCAGTAGGAATGTCTAACTTGAAAAGTGCACTTTTAGTAGCCAAAATGAGGAGAGTGAAATGCAGGAATGTTTTATCTAAGATCAGGTGACCTTTGCCTGTCTTTTTTTTCTTTGTATTCTGTTTTGTTTTTGCTGCTAATGCTGGCCTGATTCTTGGATTTTTCATAGCTCTGTGCACCTCATTAGGACACAGCCTAGGACAAGAACTTATCCAGCTCCTTGGAAACTCTGGTGTGCAGAGCCAACAAGAGCTCCTCCTGGTTTCTGAGGGCTGGTATGGGTTTGCCCAAAATATGATTGCAGAGCAGCAACCTATTGCAGGCAGTCTAATGTCAATGGACTCTATTCCTGCTTATTATTATGGGGAAAGAAAACGTGAAAGCATGAAGTATTGCATATGAATTTCTGTGGTATATTTACTGATATCTGAGTCTCTGTCATTGGGTGACTTGTTAGCTCTTATTTTCTAAGGGTGTTCAGAGCACCAAAGTATCTGCGGGTGTTGGTAAGTGCCTGTGCAGCATTGGAATGGGTGTCCTTCCTGAAAGGAGAAGTGGGGATGGGCACCAGGTGGGGAGTGAGATCTGCCTGTTGGGCGGTGTGGAGGTGGCTGGAGTTCAGGCCTTGATCCAAAGCTACTTGCTGCCTGCCTGAGGGGAGAGTAGCTCCTTGAAGAGGCAACAGGATCTGTAACCTTCTGCAGCAAGGCCAAAGACACGATGGAAAAAGATGTGAATCCTTAGGTAAAAAAAGCACATTTTTTTAAGGTGGAGAGCTTTTTGTGTTCTAAACTCTGGCATGGTTGCACTGGTGACAGAGCAGACTGCATTGAGCCCAGGTATAGCTGAGCATTGGGCTGCAGAACTAGAGCAGCATGGCACTCTGCTGCTGCGTGCAGCATCAGCCTGTCATTCCCTGGGCACGTGCTGAGCTACGGCTTCTGAAATAGCCATGGAACCTCCAGAGAACAGGTAGAATACATGTCAGAGCCAAAGACCATTCCTTCCTGCCTTCACTTGTAGCTACAAAGAGCCAGCGCTGCTTAAACCAGGGCTTTATGTTGATAAAAATAGGAAAATGTAATCGTGTAATTCAGGTGGGTTTTCAGTGAGAGCTCAAGGTTCCTTTCTGCTGGGGCAGAATGGGTGCCGGCTGCAGCTGTGTGACTGAAACACTACATTAAACAAGTGCCCGGTGCTGGGGCCGCACTCGTTGGTTTGTGTATTTATTCTCCTCCGGTTGTTATCCCAGCGTGAACCGTCCAGGTGTTCGAGTGGGGATTCTCAGTAATGGTTTTAAGCACCAAATGCCGCACGCCCTTTTTTAATCACTGGCGAGATGCCGTAACGCACCAACCCCTCGCTGTTGAGAAGAAACGTGCGCGTACCGTTCCTTCGGAAGTAACCCAAGGCGCTGGCGGCAGCAGCCGGCACTTCGCCTCGCTTCCAGCGGGTGGCGCTGCCTCATGCGGGCCGTGCCGTGCGCCAGGCGGCGCTGTTCCCGCCCGGAAGTGCCGTCAGTGCCGGCCGGAAGCGGGAGCGCGGCGCTGCCTGCGTTGGGGGGGCGGGCGGCAGCCGCCGCCATGGCGTTCTCCGAGAGCCAGCTGAAGAAAATGCTCGCCAAGGTAGGCGGCGGCCTGGCACCCCGAGAGGCCCTTCCCTCTCCGCCGGACGCGGCCGAGAGGCGGAGTGCGGGCACGGGCTGCGGCGGGGCGGCGGGAGGGGTGTTGTTTTCTGATCGGTGACGTTCGAGGAAACAAAACTCGCAGCGAGGTAAATGGCTGCTGGTCATTGAGTCGGTGCGAGCCGTGCAGTTGCGGTGCGCTGGTAGTCAGCTGGAAACCGCGCCTTGTCCAGCGGATTGAAAGGAAAATCCCTGTGGCCGGGTAGCTGCGAGGAGCCGTGGCTTCGGTTTGGGGGCGTTTGCTTTCTTAACGTTCAGTCGCATTGTTTGTACCGCCTAAAAACGAGCAGTGGCAGGCTGAGGTCTGCTCGCGGTTGGAGGTCCTGTCCTGCACGGGGTCCTTCTGTCGTCGGCCGGACAGTGAGTGCCGAACGCTAACGCGGTGTAAGCAGAGGCGCAGGTGCGACATGCCGTGGGGAGGGGAGACAAGGAGGTAAGGCAGTGCAGTGCATCTTTTCCCACTGCACCCCGTGCCCTTCTTAAACCACAAGTGGCATCTGGCTTCCTGTCTGCTCAGTGAAAAGTGCAGGGAATTTTTTCACCTGATGAAAAACGAAGTTACTGTTTCACCACTTGCTTTCATTTTCCAAGAGTAGTTATGTGCTCTATTCTATTGAGGGAAGCTTGATGGTACTTCCTATAGGAATCCCTCAGTATGTGAGATAGCAAAAGGCCAAGCCTTACTCTGAGGGAACACAGGCATCAGCGTTCATCTGGAGAGCTTCATCTCTCTGCTCTGTTACCTGATAGGTAAAATGGGGAAGGTGTGTTTGCTGTCTGAGGTTTCAGGAGGAAGAAAAGTTTGTATTCAAATGAGCCAACTGTAGTTATCTTTATACAAGTCACCAGGATATTGCCCTTTCCAAAGAGGTTTTAACATTTCTTATCCTCAATTACTAACTAAATGAACCCAGAAAAACATTGTCTTGTAATGATCTAATATTCCTCAGCCACAGTGCAGTGCTCTCTCTTGGAGAGTGTTGGAATTCATTTGTTTGCAGTGCATGCAGTGTTGGGCATCAAGCATCACAGTGTACAGGGTCCTTTGTCTTCCTACCGTGGCTGGTGGACTAGACAGCATCCCTTCCTTGAGCCACCTGATGGTTGTCTTCTTTGGAAATGCATTGAGATTGTGGGCAAGGGGCTTAGTTGTTAGTTTTTAGTGGTAATTAGCAAGAAGAAAGGCCACAAGGATGAAGATCCACATCATGTGGTGAAACAGCTCTCTGCCAGCCGAGAGCATTTCCTCTTGTCTGTGGGTGGTAGTTCTGAGACTTCAGGTCTGTGCTGAGATGAAAGCAAGGGGATGAAACCAGTGTTTGTAGTATGGCCTCTTCTAATTCGTGGCTTGCATGATGCTGGTAGTTAACTCCTGATAAATGCTGTGTCCCAACACTTGCCTTTGCTTAAAATGCAATGTTGATTATGGCAGAATATGAATGAAATGTGATAGCTTTCCCCAAGACACTTGATCTATGCACTCTTATTTAAGAATAAAAGCATCCTAAAGCCTTGTTAAAGGTGTCAATGGAGTGTTTGGTTTGATTATGTAAAAAAGAATCTCACTCAAAAGTAAGTGTGCAGAAGAATGCCCATCTATAACTTCCATAAACAGAGGCAATTCTGTGAAACAAAAAGCAATTTACACTGGATCTTTAGGCTCTAATGACTTCCTTTCTCCTTTGTTTTCCAGTATAAGTACAGAGACCTAACTATACAGGAGACAAACAGCGTCATTTCTCAGTACAAGGACCTCAAACCTGTTATGGATTCATATGGTAAGGACTTTGAGCAAATTTTTTGTCAAATTGTACTCATATGAGATATATATGGTAGTTTTTGTGGAGAGTAGGGAATTAAAGCTAATTAAAATTTAGAATTTGAAGTTATTCTTTTTGATCTTTGATGTCACTACTTCCCTGGAACTGACACTTACTTTCTGAAATAGACTCACTCAGTAGTACAGAAAGGTGCCAGAAGGTGGGATGTTTTTCCACCTCTTTAGCTTTTATTTGGTCACTCAGAAATCCTATCACTGAATGCCCTGGAGATTGCTGATATCTTACAAGTTCAGATTTGCTGTGATGCAAAAAATATGTCTACAGTTCTATCTGTTTTAAAAGTATTGTAAATTAATGTAAATACTTCACTAAAAATGACAAGTTGCGACAGTGCTTTAAAGTATGCGAGTTTGAATTAAGATTAAGAATGAAGAATAGCATTGAGCTGTAGCAAGAAGCTCATTTCTGTTACCTGCCTCTTCCAAAGCTGCCTTGGAAGATTTGAGCATAGAGCCAATTGCAGCTGGTTGGTACAGTGAAATGAGAAAATTCATGTGCTACTTCAGCAGTAAAGAAGGAAGCAGTTTTATTTCCAGTAAAGGTAGCTTGATGATAATTAGTAAACCATTTCTCAGAAATATGTTATTCATAAGAAGTTATCTGATTATAGGCAACCATTTACCAGTGAGATGTGCAAGAGCAGAACTTCTCAAGCTGTGGTGATATACATATAGTGTGTAACTGTGTGTGTATATGTACATGTGTTCACACATGACTTCTGAAAATGTACGCTAACAAGTAGATGGGCTATCATTTGAACAGAGATTAACATAGCAAATAGGTTTGTTTTCAAAACGCTGTCTGCTCCCTTTCAGTTTTTAACGATGGTTCGTCTAGAGAGTTGATGAGCCTCAGTGGAACCATTCCTGTGCCTTACAGAGGTATGCGTTTATTTTTAATCTAGTCACTGTTATGTTGTTATTTTTTCTACAGAAGCACATGAAAAACTGCTTATATTCATAATGCTTCAGTTACACTGCTTCAGTGATCACTGTTTTTGTGAAAACCTTTACTTATCCGCGGTGTAATATTTTAAATATCTTTTCTGGTTTTGCTGTGGAACCAAATTGTAGTGCATATCACTGCTGCTCTGTGCTTGTGCAGCTCTTTAATTTCTGTTTATATTTCAGTACTCTTTTCAGTACTTTATGTATGTTTTAAACATCTGAATATAAAAGGACAGGACTCCTAAAATCTTTCAAATCATCTTTCTAGGTAACATATACAATATTCCCATTTGCTTGTGGCTGCTGGACACCTACCCTTTCAACCCCCCAATCTGTTTTGTTAAACCCACTAGCTCAATGACAATAAAAACTGGGAAGCATGTTGATGCTAATGGAAAGATATACCTTCCTTACCTGCATGAGTGGAAATACGTAAGTATAGGAAACTCCAGTTTGTTAAATTACTCTTCTAATTTTTTTTTTTTCAGATAGTTGTACCATCTGTAACAAGAAACATAGCTCTCTTTTTCTGAGATATTAATCCAGATTTTTTTTTCCTTTGAAACAACTGCTTGTTGTTTTTAATATCTTAACGTTCAGGATGTTGTGGGTTTTGTTGTCTGGTTAATTGTGCCTTTAGTGACAGCCCATCTGATTGAACAGTGCAGCATAGGCTTCCTTACCTAGTAGGGGGCTGATCTGAAGATAAGAATATTTACTGTGAGACAAGAATGTTTACTGAAGGTAAACTATAAATTCTTTGAAGCATCTCTGGGCTGAAATTAATCTCAGATTAAAGTGAAGTGCTGTATGACTGCTTCAGGTAGACTTTGCTGGGGCTTTGAGTGTATGCATCTGTTTTCTTTATTAATAACGAAATCTAGCAGTGCAGGCCTCAGACATTTTGACTAAAATGTGGACTTTCAAAAAAGATAAAATGTGTTGACAGGGCTGTAACTGTAGAAGAAGCTTAGTTCTATCAAAAGTGATTAGGAGGAATAAATCTAATAAACGTGAGTGGTCGTTCAGCATTTGTGCAGTATAAATAGTAGTAAATACATGTATATGTGTGCGTGTGGAATAGTCCCATTTTGTTGTTACAGTCAGCTAAACCAGCTGTTAGCAGATGGCACCAACTTATGATGTGTGTATCCTTGCAGCCCCAGTCAGACCTGCTGGAACTGATTCAAGTTATGATTGTGGTGTTTGCTGAGGAACCTCCAGTCTTTTCTCGACCCACTGTTTCAGCCAGCTACCCACCATACCAGGCAACTGGCCCACCAACCAGTAAGTGCTCTGGGTTGCTGGTTTATACAAATACACTCCAGAATGCATACCAAAGACTTTCTGCCTCATTCATTGATAAATATCATTCTAAAATGGCTTTCTACATTGATGGATATTCACAAGTAATTCACTTGTGCTGTACTTGAACTACTGGAAGAATTTGTGTGGAATTGAGAGGCAACATTCATGCTTGTATTGGTGAGGGAGAGCCATAAACAAATAACCAAGTGGGACCAAAGAGGGGTAACTAAAGGGGACCATTAGAGATAATTGGCTAAAGGTAAGTGCCTGGGGCCTTATGGCTAGTCTGGTGTTAGCCTACCTGTTGTAAGAGCACCAGGTGATTCAGTGAACAAGCTGTTGAGTTTTCCAAGAACAGCAGGTGTCACTACAAGTATAGTTTTGGTGGGGACTGCAACCTGTATCATGCTTTAAGGAAGGGGAGGATCATCGATTGAAATATCACTGCTTTGTTCTTTTGTAGTCACTGAAGGCTAGTCTATTGGAAGTAACTTTACAAACAGTTTTTCTGGATTTTCACATGATTAATAGCTACTTAGTTTTACTAGAGTAGTCTTTTTAAAAAATCTATTTTATAGACAGTTTGTTTTAAGTTCTAGATGCAACTTGAGAAATAAAAATCGTGAATCATTTGCAGTTTTACAGGGTGAAAATAGCTAGGGAGACAAAAATAAGAAAGAGGGGAAAAAAAAACACCTGAATTTGATGTAACGTTCCTAAAATTACTATTAATCAGCAATAAATACACTGAAAATGTAATTTTTATAATAGAATTGTCAGCTTTCTAAGAAAAACCATAAAATTGCTAAGGCATGTTTGTTGATAAAAGTTCTTTAGAAGCATAATTTCTAGATGGAAGAAATCAATAATATTGGATTGTTGAACAGTTAATTGACTGTTATCCTTGTCTATTCTGAAGCTGCTTGAATTATATGCTTGTTATTTAATGAGCAGAGTAGAGAACAATGGCTCATTGGGAAGGTTATCTTATTTTTCTCAGCTATTACTTAAAAGATCACAGATGTGACTGTTTTTACATGCCTCCTTTTTGAGTTCCCTTCCTGCAGATAATTTTTCTTAAGCAAACATACTTTACTCAGGTACAGGTACTGCTCTTTTAAATTAATATCTTCGTAAATATTGTTCAGTATTTTGAAAAGCATAGTATCACAGCATAATGCTTCTCACTAGTGTGATCTTTGTATATGGTAAAATTCTGAAAAGCAGAAATACATAAAATAATTATTTTATTTAGCTTCCTACGTGCCTGGCGTGCCAGGAATATCTCCCTATCCACCAGGAAGCACTACAAACCCAAGGTAAGAGTCACTTTAAGCACTTCTCATCATCATTGACATAATGGATGGCTTCACTGAGCAGAATCTAGTCTTCTTTCTGTTCCTTTTTTTTTTGTTGTTTTTTTTACCATGGATTCGGGTCTTGGTGTTTATCACATAATTATCATAATAGCTGTTTATGTAGAAGAGAGGACTGAACTCTTTGTTAATGGCCAAGAGAAAGTTTGGGAAGTTTTCATTTTTTTAGTGTTGCTTACTTCAGTTATGATACACCTGGGTGATAGTTATTTTTTGAAAAATGATTACCTAATTCCTGCATGTTCTCTTGATTCACTTACATAATTAGTTTTATGAAGTAGTTCTGCTTATGTGCTGTAGAAAGATACATATTCCTAAAAGTTGTTTTTTTCTTAACAGCATTGATTGGTTAGGTCATGAACAACTCAAATAATTGAACAAAGCAGTTATTGGATTAATATGAACCTTGATGTGTTTTGTTCTTGCCAGTGCTAGGTCTTGTTTCACAGAGATTAAAAACTGAAAATGAATCACAACAGAATTATCTCCTCAGAAATATAGTAGTGACTTCAATTATTTTTTGAAATAAACTGTTGCTTTCTGTAGTGTTCTTTGGAAATTAGAGGAGCAGCTTGTGCATCAGCTCTGCCATTCACTATTAACATCCTTCCTTAGCAAATAACATTCTTTCTTAACAAATAAATGATGCCTGTTTTCTAGTTTGTACCCCTTTTTTTTTTTTTTTTTTAATTATGGGCATCCTAACATCCTGATTCTGTTAGGATAGTATAAGGAGTTGCTGTAGTACATAACATTTTGGTATTGAAAAGCAAAGAAACTGTAAGCACTGGGAGCATGCTTTAAGAAGTGAAAGAGAGAGGTCATGCCACGCTCATGTGGCAGACATTTTCCTCCTAAGTATACCTATTTAAAGTGCTCCTAGTGTATTCTGCATGGAGTGTGTTTTCTTCTACGTGAAGCACTTCAATCCAAGTCTCCTGTTAAATTTTTGTACAATGTTGAAAATTGTTAGGATTGAATGTTTTGTCAGTCTGTAGTTAAAACAATTTAGTTTGGGTACTTCTGGGTTTTATAAGGGCAGTTTAGATATTGAAGGGCAGCCTGTTGAGAATTTGGAATGATCTACATGCTTGACCAGCAAATAACTAGGTAGGGCTTCAGTTAAAATGATATCATCTTACATTATATCAGAACTACAAGTTGTGAAAGATGTTAATGTGGACAGGAAAAGAGTGTAATTCAGCCTGTAGTTTAAACGTGATATGAATAAAGATTTAACATGGTGACATGGATCAAGTTTTATTAGTAATTAAATAACTTCAGCCTGTATTTCTTTGTCAAAGCAGCTTCCCGAGCTATCCTTATCCAGCTGGTGTTCCATTCCCACCTACCACTAATGTTCCATACTATCCTTCTCAGCCCCCTGTGACTACTGTTGGTGAGTAACTATTTCATCAAAGCAAAGCTTCCCACTGCAATTGATACGTAAAGAGCAACAGTGAGAAAAGGAATTTATTCTTCTTAAATCCAGCCTTCCAAAATATTGATTTTTTTTTTTTTAATGGGGAAGATGATGTTACCTAGAAGAAGACACTTTTTATGTTCTTTGCTTTGTATTTTTTTCACTCAGGAACCTATAAAATTCCTGATTGTGTGCAGTGCACTGTCTGCTCTATGAATATGTTGAAAAACAGTTTATAAAAGCAACCAAAGGTTTTTTTCCCCTTACCCTTAAACTGTTGGTGACATTTGATTGTCTGTACTGCTCTTTGTTTGTTGTCTTACTTTTTAAAAATGCTTTTGTCTTCACTTAATTGTCTATGGGACTTGCTTTATTTACTCATTATTTATACTTTATTTTGAAAGTCCTGAAGCTGAGGTTTCCAATGCATATTTGGTAGGCCTTTTACCTGAATCTGTTGTTTTCTGCCTCTTTGCTGTTGCTCCTTGTTTTACTTCCTTCTTACCTCCTGTCAGCAATGAAACCAAGAGTATTGATTCATTTTTTCTATTCTGCTGCTCAGTCATCCTGTGCTAGCAAAATGCACTAGCACTGTTTCTGCTCTGTCTCATTTGTAGTATGGGTATGTGTAATGGATAGGGAACCACTGGAAAGTATTCTCTAGCAGGAAGATGGTGCATAACTTTGCAATTGGACAGTCCTTTTGAAACAGCTGCTTGGTAAGGATGAAGACAGTTGTGTCTTTATTCAGAATATCAGGTGGTTTATAATCTCTTACTCTGTAATCTAAGAGAGTATCTATAGGTTTGTAATTCCATGTGTGAACTCCCAGTTATTTATGTATGCTCTTCCCTTTTGAAGCTTTAGTTTGCCTTGGGAACAAAGCACAATCACAGATTGGCAAAGGAAGGCAGATGCTTCAGTTTTACTCTTAATAATACTCGAGGAATTGTTGTGTTACAGAATTTGGAAACTACAAGGAATGATCATTCTTATTTTTTTGTCTCTGATCCCATCCCTCATGTCCACGTTCTTTCAGACTTCTGTATTACAAAAGTGTTCTCTGAAAGTCATTTCAGCTGTCATTTCCATTCTGACATGAGTTGTGGCTACCACACCATCTACAAGAAAGCCAAGTGCTCACTGTTGTGGGGTTGTTGGGTCCTTGAGGATTGATAGTCCATGCTGGCTCTCATTGTCAGACATGCAAAAAAGTATTGGGAACCTTTCTAGGGAACTCTGTGGCTTTCCACAGAGTGTCTCTCTGAAAACAGATCCTGTTTTGGTTTTGTGTGGTAAAGAGTTAATTTAAAATTACATCACATTTCATTTATTTTCTTCCTTTTCATTCTCAGTGAAGATGAAGAGGGGTGGAGTATATGCCAGGTATTACAGAATACTTCAGAAGTCCTGAGTTAGGTCATCTGGTACCATGTTGTAATGCCAGATTTTTAGTAGTGATTTAACACGAGACAGATTCACCAGATGCAGCTAGGTAAGAGCCATGCACCTGCTACGTATGGTTTATCTCACACCAGATGAAATGTGGAGATGTCTCTATAGTCATCCAATGTATTTACAGTAAACTTATTTTCCTTGAAACTGCAAATGTTTCTTTTCTATTCAGATTTTTTTTTTCCACTCTTGTTGGACTATGGTTTACCATGCCAGTTTATTGGGAGCTTACAGGGAACTACAACTTGCAAAGTTGTATAAATGGTGCTGGAGTGGTTCCTTTAGTGAGCTTATTTTGAGTTGGACAAAAATATTCAGACTTGCTTCATTTTTTTTTAATTATAGCCAGTTTTTCAAATAGTTTTTTTTGCTCGTTCAGTTCAGTTGTGTGCCACTAATGATCTAATTCAGCTACGAGTCCGCTTCTGTAAGGTCAGTTCTGAAACCAGACTCTGCCTGGTAAAGGTTAAGGGTTTCAGTGCTCTCTGGATTTACTGGCTCTCTGCCATAAAGTCTTCTCCAAGCTGCACTAATTATGGAAGTGGCAGAAAATGCTAAGGGTTCATGCTCTTTAGTTAGATATATAAAATCTAACTGATGATCCATGTGCAAAGACCTTTTTCTTGTCTCTTGGCACTTGCATGTGAACTTCAGCCATTAGTTCTGTTGTGACTTTTTTTCTGTCCTGCTTTAGTGTTGAAGTGAACTTTGCATAAAATATCCAAGAGTGAGAGAGACTGGGGAGGAGGAAAAAAAAAAGTAGAATTGATTGCTGGTTCTGGCATAATAGAGAATAATTCATTGGATAAATCAAACAGTAGCTGAAATCATGCTGATGCTGTTCTTAAAGAGAAATCAGACCTTTTGTTTGGATTAGGAAGATATATGTTTACAGTTGGCTGCCTTACAGTTACAGTGCTAAACTGTGAATGAACTCTTTGTCCCACATGGTTTAAGTCTGACTTGATTTAAGTTTTACTTGTCAGTGCACAAAATGCTGTTGTTTTCTCCTTTCCGTAACAAGTAGTGGTGCTAAATTCTTGAGTTTGTATGCAGGTTCTGCTGCTGATTCTGATACTTGACCAAATGCTAAAAATGGTCATGTTGACTGGCAGCAGGTTGAACTGCTTAAGCCAGACCTGTAGAACAGATCAACTCTTGTGCCATTTGCATTTTCACAAGCCTAACTTTGCAGTAGTTTGTTTATTCGGACCCTTTTTTTCTCAGTAGGAGTTCGTTTTAGCTTTTAAAAATTATACACGTGCTGGTGCAACTTGTATGTGAGAAGCAGTAACACTAGTAATTGTCAACATCCAATGCTTTCTTAGTTTTGGAAGAAATTGATGTATTAGTAGGCTAATGTACTATTTTCTCATGCTCTTCTGTCCGTTGCATAGATTTATTTTCCCAAATACATGGCTTTATGTAAGTTTTGAATACTGGAAAGCATATAGGAATAAAGTAAAAGGCATAGGAAAAAGAGATGGATTTATGCATCTTGTTCTGTTCAGCAGTGGAGATCCAAAAAATTCCTTGGATGTTATAAGGATTCTCTGAGGTGTGTGGTCTTGAAGTTTTGTGTACAGTGCTCTTTCCAAACTGGCTTTGTATTGAAGCTGGTGCAGAATTGAGAGTTAATTGTGTGCTGGTGAATTTTCTTGCGCAGGACCCAGTAGAGATGGAACTATCAGTGAAGACACCATTAGAGCTTCCCTTATTTCAGCAGTCAGTGATAAACTGAGATGGAGGATGAAAGAAGAAATGGATCGTGCTCAAGCTGAACTCAATGCCTTGAAGCGCACAGAAGAGGACCTGAAGAAAGGACACCAGAAACTGGAAGAGATGGTAACTCGTCTGGATCAAGAAGTGGTAAGCTGAGTTGAAACACTGATCTATAGCAGCGTGAGTGTATTGCTTTTAAAGTGTGTATTTTCTTTGCAAATTGAGGTGCGTGTGTTTAGACAGGTGAAAGATGGAAATCCCAGTGATCCTAAGATGCATTGTCTTGTGTCTTTAAAATTGTTGTTAGTTGCAGAGGAACAGCATCAGTGCTTTTTTCCCCCAGATGATAAGTGATATAGGAGTACTTATTCACTTTGTCAGTTTCTAGCTAATAGTGTGTGACAGTAGTGCTGGAGAACATTTCAATGTCATAGTGCAGACACACTGATTTTAGTCACAGCTTCCTTCGTAACTTCAGATGTTTTCCAAACAAGAGTCTTTCCTACTCCTCGTGCTCAGAAATGGCTGCAGGGTTTTTTCATGAGGGCCTAACTTCTACTTCCTGTAGAAGTCCTTGCATTACTGCTTGGGGTAAGATTTTGGGACTGATGACCAGTTTCTGAAACAATCAGCTTAATGTTCAAATTCTGTTGTTGTTTTTTTTTTGAAGTGACTATTTGCAAGTATGAATGAGGAACAGAACAGGAAATACCATTGTGTCGTTATATAAACCTGTGATGTGACCACAGTAAATGCAGCATGGAATTGGGGAAAAGAGGGACATAATAGAACTGGTGACGTGATAAAAAGGCAAGAATGCACGAGCTGCCTTCCATATAAGACGTGACTAAATCAGTCAGGACTTCTTTATGGCTTGGAGTAGTATGTGGACAAGAATCTTTTCCAGTTTGTTAGCTGTGGTTGTGGAAGTTATAAAGAAGCAAATTTGAAAACAAGCGCTTCTCATACAGATGTAGGTTAACTGTAGTTACTGTTGGTGGTAAAACCAGGATGTTTTGTTCATTTCCAGTCAATACAATTTGGTTTGTATGATCCACCATCAGCAGATTTAAGTAGGAAGTTGCTCCAAAGCGTACACCTCCAAAGGAAACCTTTTTTTTTTTTTGCTTTGCTTTTGTTACTTCAGTTAGTTTAAACCATCATTCTTCCTTATGTAGTATCTTCAAAATACTCAGACTGCTAATATGCCTTCTCCAAAATTGTAAATGGTAACAGATTAGCATTATAATCTAAAAGAGCATTTACTTTTTTGATGGTAGAATCTCAAATCTGTAAGTTGTTAGCTCATTCTTTTACAAAAGTCATGATGAAGGTGAATATAGAAGTAAAAAAATTAAGTAGTATTTCTAAAATGTCATATTTTTGAAGTCATCTTGACAGAAGCAGGTATGCAGCTCTTGAGAGTTAAGAAATAAACATCTTAAATGTTTTTAGGCTGAAGTTGACAAGAACATTGAACTTCTCAAAAAGAAAGATGAGGAGCTCAGTTCTGCCTTAGAGAAAATGGAAAGTCAGTCAGAAAATAACGACATAGATGAAGTTATCATTCCTACGGCACCACTTTACAAGCAGATCCTGAACTTATATGCGGAGGAAAATGCAATTGAAGACACCATCTTTTATCTTGGGGAAGCACTGAGGCGTGGAGTGATAGATCTAGATGTCTTTTTAAAGGTAGGCTTCTTGAGATTTTTAATATGTGCACTTTGAATGTGTGTAAGTACTTTGAACTCTGATGTTCAGCTTTTTGATGTTAATGATGTCCTTGCTGAAGAAATACAGTAAGTACATATAAGTTGAAACATAAGTCTCAAAAGAAGAATATCAGGATTAGGATGGGCTAATTTAAAAGCATTATAGATATATAGAGGTTATTTACTGTTAGTGTCAATATACACTTTCCTTTGGTCTGGGCTACTGACTGTGGAGAAACCAATTTTAAAGGTGACTAGAGAACTGTCAGCTTTCCACTTGCAGTCTCTTGATGCCATTCTTGCAGCAGGCAGTGGAGTGTTAGGCTCATAGAAGAAAAAGAAGAGCTGTTCTTGAGAAGCCCTCACCTTTTGCACCTTTAGGAGAGAACTTAGATGACTTATTCCTTTTCTTTATTTTTCTTAATGCTTAGAGTTTTCTTTCATATCTATTTCTATTTTGAACTTTTGAATTTATTAAGAACACGTAACATGGAGACTAGAACTTCATAAAATGTCCTAATTAGTGGTGTAGCCATTGGATCTGAAAAGGTTAGTGTGTCGAAGTGTAACACACTAACTTGGGCCCCTGGCTAAGAGTGGTAACGAGTTGCCAGTCACTTCCCTTTCTAACAGGTGAGATTCCACCATATTACCACCTCAGCTTTGCTTTAAACATTCAGTGGGCAGTGTCCTAAGTAGAGAGATATTTTATTCTTATGTAGCTTGCTAATTCTGTTTAGCTTCTGTTAAAAGAAATGATACTATGGGAATTGTATTTGTCTTTCATTCACCTTAGAATACATATGACTTCTCTGATAGGAATGTGAGGATCTGATTATTAAAATTATAAAAAATACACTATAGTAATTGTATATGGTAGCAAGTCATTCTAAGCCAAGAAAAAGCCATTTAATGAACCAACACATTTAATATTCCCCAAAACAGACATCTCATTTGGGTCATCCTTTCAAAGCTTGGATTGCTATAGAGTTACCAGTTTTATCAGCCAGCTCTTCTTATTATTTCTTTGCAGCATGTACGCCTTCTGTCTCGCAAGCAGTTCCAGCTGAGGGCATTAATGCAGAAAGCAAGGAAGACTGCTGGACTCAGTGATCTCTACTAAACTCCCAGACTTTAACTGGGAAGTTAGATTTACTTGTGAAGCAGCCATTTTCTTGATCTTTCTCTTAATCAGTAGGTGCCCAGAATAAGTTATTGCATCATTCAACTGTAAAATATTTTGAATCAATAATATATTTTCTTTTTAGTAAATACTAGCTTTTATTAATGCACTTTCTATTTCCTGTAATCTTTGTGCTGGTGGACTTAAGCTGAATAAAACTTGTTGCATATTTTCTTCCTCTATAGAATTGTGTTGAATGCACTTTCTTTACATACAACCCTAGCTCATGTGGTATCAGCTTAACCATTCTTTCATTTTACTTATGATAGCTGGAAAATGTGCCGGTGTCCTGACTGAGAATAATTCACAGCTGGAGTTTGTAACTAGACTTCCTTATGACGGATGAAAGCTGGAAACCTCGAAAATTCAAGGCACCGCTGTTTGATGTAGCTGCTGACATTCAATGATTATTTTCCTAATTAAGCTTAGCAATGGTTCTCTTGTCTTGCCTTGTTCTACCATCAGGTTATGGCTGTTGTGGAGTGTATCATGCAGTACCTTTAAAAGCCTTAATGGTTTTTGGGCTTTCTTCTAAAAAAGAATGCTAGGAAAAACAAAGACTTCTGCGTTTGTTGATATACTACTGCCTCCAAGGCCAAGAACACGATGGACCAGAATGCCCTATCAAAAAAGACTCAGGAGGCTGAAATACGTTTCATGGTTTATTTGGTGTTGGAGCTGGTACTACAGGTCATTGTCTTGTTGCATATATAAACTTTAACCTTTTCTTTAAATGTGCTTTGGAGACAAATTTACAACTAGTCTGATACAGTACACAAAAATAAGTTCCTCTAAAAAAAAAGGTATACACAAGTTCCAAAGAAGTGTTAGGAAAATATTTGGACCTACCAACAGTGAAATATTTAAGCTATTCAGCTGGCAGAGAAGGTTTGTCAATTAGTTTGACAATCCTGTGACTGCAAGGAAATAGTCTTTGGTTTCACGTTGTGTTAGTTAGCTGGTTGGTTATTGTTCTGGGCTAATGCTTAAACAACGTGAGGAAAAGGCAGTGCTGCTTTGAATGCTGGATTGATGTCACACCACTTCACTGTACAATACTAGGTGGCTGGAGCTATGGCTAAGAATATAAGTGTCTGAGAACAGGGAAAACCCTAGAATAGTTTCCTAATTGCCATCTTCAGGAAACTCATTTGTTCAGATTTTTGTTTGTGTTCTAGTTGAAATACATACACCAAAGGATTTGACCTACTTGGAAAGTGCAACATTAAGACAAACCACTAAACCGTTAAAACTGCAAATAGTGAATTGCTTGGACAGCTTTAGAACTGTAGTTCCTTCTGAATTCCCCACAGTGTATCTGCACTCTTCTTTATTTTCTCCTCTTCATCAGGTTTTAGGATCATCTTCACTACATCAGTGATGCCACTGCTGCCCAGTACACAAGGAACACTTAGGAAGACATCATCTTTTATTCCATGCAAGCCCTGAAAAGTAGGTAAGGATAGTTAGGCTAGGATTTGTATACATCTGTTTTATAGAGTATTCTAATGTGGAAAATTCAAGCAAGCTTAATGGAAATTAGAATGGTATCACTGTTCCTCAGGATTCTTAAGTTTTTAGTTCTCAGTTAAAACAAAAGTCAGCAAGAAGGAGCTGCTCACCTTAACAGCTGTAGAGATTGGGTGCACTCTTCTTAAGTTCTTCATAATAGTTTCAGCTAGATCTGCCACAGAAAGGCCAATAGCCCATGATGTGTACCCCTTCAGTTTGATGACCTCATAGGCACTGTAGAGTGAAAGTTACTTATTAAAAAAACAAGTAGCTTCAGTGGAACTAATTGACAGCTGTAGGAAAGGCTTTTGATCCCTTAAACAATTTGGAGACAGTGGAAACTTGACTGATAGCTGACAGGATTGAAATGCACTGTTTGTACTTCACACCATGCCCCTCACTAACACTATAAACTTGGAAGTTAAAACATTTTCTTTACTTAAAGCTTGCTAACCATGAGAAATTAATTCTGCCAAATCTACATCAGTCCTTAAAACTTTGAAGTTGTATTATTTCTGAATTTTTTTACCTTCATTTTGGGCCACTTACTGAACCAGAAATCAGTGATGCATTTCAGAGATGTTTTCCTTCAACATGAGCTCATACGATGGAGAACTAAAAGTGGTATTACCTGTCCACCACCTGCTTGTGAATCTCCTTCCAGTGCTCCTTATCTGCATCAGTTCCCATGTCTGGATGAAGAGCCTTCAGGGAGACACCAGCAACATTGACTCCGCTCCAGACAGGCACTGAGTTGCAGAGAGATTAAATTACCTCACAAAGAATCTTCCCAACCAAAAGACAACGGTTTAATTCTCAAGTTAACAGTTAAGGTAGGAACTACCTGGATTAGTTTGTGACACATCACAGATTTGGATTTGATTCCAAAAATAGTATGAAATATGAGACCAAGTGGAGTTGTAGGGTTAAGAAACCCAGAACTCATGAACACCTTTCTTGATACATGTTGCAGGGTTTGAATGTACCTTTATGAAAGCAAAACACCTAAGCAACATGAACTAAAAATGGTAGTAACTCCAGACTTTGCAACAGTTCCTCAAAATAAAGATGGATTCCAAATGCGCTCTTTGGGTGTCAGGAAGCAGACAGTGCTGCTCTGCTGTTGCTAGAGAAGTGCAGACTAAGCGAGAAGAGTATTGTTCTTTCTCTTGTCCTCATCTAAACTTGACTCCACGCTTCCATTCTTAAATATGGCTCTTGAAGTAATGAAAGACCAGTGAAGACAACTGAGTGACTTCCGCTATATATAGTGGGGATCTCTGGGAGTCTCTTGCAGAGATCTTTACCGTCTTGCTTCTTCAGTATGCTTTTTAGAGAGTTATGAGAACAACTTAGCCTAGACATTTTTAGTCTCCTTAGGTTACAGTAATGACCTTTTCTAAGCAGAGTAACTCAGGTCAAATATAGATCATCTAGGGTTACTCTGTTGCTGTAGAAGACCTAAAGTAGGACTTGCATTCTTAAGTTCCTGCACTGCATGAGTTTCTGAGCAGGTTTCTGAGCAGCATTCTGGTGTAGCCCTTGCAGCTTATGTTTCTTGCAAAAAAAAGTATGAGAAGAAGCTCTGTGTAACAGCCAGATTTTGCCCTTACCACTGGAGTCTCCATGCTCTCCAACAATCCACCCATGGCAGCTCAGAGGATGGATGCCCAGTCTTTCTCCCATGAGGTGGCGGAAACGGGCTGAGTCCAGATTGCAGCCACTACCAATAACACGGTGTTTAGGAAAGCCACTGATCTTCCAGGCCACATAGGTCAAAATGTCCACTGTAAGAAGAACAGGGAGAATAAGTGCCAGTCACGAGCAGTCTGATATCTGGGGTAGTATCTTCTGCTTATCTGTAGGGATTTTATGTGCATGCCAGGTGGCATAGAGAGTGAAGTAATACTCATCACCAGGCCCAGCAGTGGGCTAACATGAGGACTGTTTTAATTGCAAAATTAAGAGGCTGCTGATACTATGCATCTAATTACCAGTGCTCCCTACTTTGTCCTGTACTGAACTGGCAGCCCGAAGTTGAAGGGAGCCTAATTTACCTCTCAAAGCATCAACTTGCTGAGTATGGAGAGGGAAGGTGACGTGACACTTCTTGCTACATGCTCAGTTGGCATAGCTACTTTGCTAAAATCTATGCTTGGCTATATCGATATACTGACACCACTATACTGAAGAAAACGCTATTCTAAACCAAATCTCTTGCTAAGCAACACAAGACAAACCTGGGTTTGAGACAATCAGCAGCTTGCAGTGAGGACTGTATTTCACAACATTGGGAATGATGAATTTGAAGATATTGACGTTGCGTTGGACCAAGTTAAGACGGCTTTCTCCTTCTTGCTGACGGGCACCAGCAGTGACAATGACCAGTTTGGAGTGTGCAGTCACGCTGTAATCTGAAGACAAAAGGCTGTGTGTCAAACATGACCTCTTTCTATCTACGGTTCAGGAGTCTAGTTGCTTTTAGCATAGATATCTAAAACTCTCAAGTTTGAGGGTTGTTACTCTAGACTTTGTATCTACTAAAAGTTTATCACTGCAAGTGGCAACCTTAAAAGCATGTTCAAGTCTTACTAAGCAGAACTTGACCAATGATATTTCATACTTGTCAGCCATTGGTGGGCATAGGGGGTAGCTGTTGGGATGGCCTCCAATGGAACAGTTGCACAGGAGGAGAAGGAAGAAGGCACTGTTCTCATCATCTACTACCTGTGGATGCTGGAGACACACATTTACTAGGGTGTGAGATGGCTATTACTTGCCCTGGTCAAGCTATCATTAAGCTTCAAGCCATCCACCATTTATAGCTGACAGATGACCAGAAAAGGATTCAGAAGCTAACTGCCTGTGAAAGAAAATTCTTAGAGGTCCATGAGTACTTAAGAAATTTATTTTTCTGTACTCAAAGTACTAATTGGACCAACCTTAAAAAGATGCATCAAACTATGTCAGCTTAGTACTGTTTCTGTAGGAACAGAAATGAAGTTAGCATCCCTTGTGATTAGGATGACGGGACAAGTGCTAAACGTGGATGGACAGTTTGATGTTGCTATCAACTAGAAATAGGTGACTCCATTGGAACCAACTACTTGCCTTTGCCAGATGTAATCTTTGGTGTTCGGAGAAAGAGGCTGCCATGCTGGAGATCAAGCATTTCTCCTTTCAGCTTGTCCTCCACAACATCAACAAGGGTAAGTTCATCTGCCAAGTCCTGTGTGAGACCAGCATTAAGGAGTTCCGTTTATTACAAATTGAGTTATTTACTCAGAGAAAACTGTGAAGTTACGATTCTTTTATGAGTAGCCATCTATTCAAGCAATTGAATTTATCAACATCACTTAACTTCCTCCCAAACCGGGTATTTAAATCAGTCTCCCAGGATATCCACTTGAGTTAGTTGTATACCTTTC